ATTTTATTTTATTTCAATTATTAAACTGTACTTATCTCAACCCATGGGTTTCACCTTTCTTCCCCCAATTCTCCTCTCCATCCCACCGGTGGAGGGGAAGGAGTGAGCAAGCAGCTGCATGGTGCTTAGTTGCCGGCTGGGGTTAAACCACGACAGTTATAATGAGAGGAAAAAACTAAACAAAACAAACCCACCCCCAAACCTAATAAAATATCTGCACGGTGTCTTGTTGAATTACCCTCTGTCTATTCTTGTTATTTAAAAGGTTATATTTGCCTGAATACTAGTCAGCTTTATGTGGCTTACTATGCCCTAGTTTTATTTATTCCTTTGATATGTGGTTATAACAAGTAACTAGGCTGTGTTCAAATGGCTCCAAATAACTTAATTTTCATTGTCCTCTAACGATTTGGTACTTGCATGTGAAGAAAATATTCAAAAAATTCTGTCTTCTGTTTGAATCTTTACAAGCTTCATTAATGTTACTACTTGTGGTTTTAGAGCACAGAAACTAAACCACGTAGTTCCACTGGTCCGTCTGTTCCCATTTGGGTGCTTGGGGCTTATTTTTTTACATGGAAAACTAAGGATATGCTGGGCCAAGTTACTAGCTGCCCCCTTGAGCCACCTTGAATTTTGGAAATTCCCAAGATCATTTTTCTTTGTGAAATAATTTTAGTCCTTAGTCTAAGTGAAGTTTCAGTCAAAGTGCATATACTTCTTTTTATGTTTTGATTAAGTTTTTGGGAAGTTTTGGGTGGAGACTGGGCAGAAGCAGTGACACTATGACCTAAAACACTTGATACATTTATCACCATCTTCAACAAAGCTAGAAAACTTGCAATTGCAAATAGATATTCTAGCGTATAGGTAGTTGAATTATGAATGGTACACATCTGCTGTTGGATGTTATTTGACTGCTTAGCCTTTGAATAGTAATTGCAGTGATAGTTACAATAGATTCATGTCTTCTGGGCTTTTTTTCCACTGTTACGTTTTTCCCACTAGGGATTTAAAAAAAGGAACAAAACGGTTGGGTTTTGAAATTACTGGTATGGATCCAGTCCAGAAATACTTGTAGCTATGAATTACTTTCTGGCGATTTTTTTTTTTTTTTTTTTTTTTATTACATTGCAAATGTGTTGCTTATTTCTAGGTGTTCTTTCTTACTTCCATACCTTGTTCTCCTATAGATCTCCTCCACAACCTCCCTTGAGCCAAGCAGATGAAGATGAAATCACGTGGGGAAGTGATGAACTGCCGATTGAATCAGTCAGCCAGGAATGTGTAAATAAAGGCAAGAACTTTAACACATAATCAGTGGAAAACTGAGGATCACATTAAATAGACAGAATGTCAGAAGTGAATTTTAAAATGTCCTGGATATGTTTTGAGGGTGCAATGACAGGTATAATGGGAAATCTAACAGCTCAGCAACCACTGGAAAGGTTCTTTACAGCTTTGTGTAATAAATATGTGAGAGTTAATAGGAACAAATATTGGCAACGTTGCAATTGTAGTTGTGGTAGAGTTGAAACCAGCTGAGGTGCTTTTTTCCATAGTATCTATCTGACAAAAAGTGTAACGATATAGATGTTTGACCGTGATCAGATCGATATATTATGTGCTTCACGAACCGGCAACTCCATGCTTAAATTCGGCAATATTTTTTCTTTATCTTCACTCTCATTCTTCCACTGCTGCTCAAGATGGCAGAGTGGAACGCTACTCAGTTTGATGCATTTGGCAGAATCTAGTCTTTACTTTTTGAGATAGCATTAGAAATGTCAGTTCCTGAAATTCATATACAGCAGCCTTTTGTCTGCATTTGTTAGAAGAAAAAAGGGTAATCCATGTAAACCTTTAGACTTAGGACACTTTTAATTGTGATACTGGAGAGACTCTTCGTTTATTACTTTTGTTGTGCTTCAGAGAAACACTAAAGACCTGATAGAAAGCAAACTTCATTGGAAAAAAAGATGTATTTAACACATCTTAGAATTACCACTTGAAAGACATGTTGAGTGTAAGTGCTAAAAACAAAGTCACAGGCTGTGATGTTTAAGTGGAGAGTTCTGAGAGTCTGTGTGTGCATTCATCGGTTTTTTCAGTTATTGTACGAAAAACTTAACGTTTAAAATGTATCTGAAATTTGTTTCAGTGTATTTATTAGAAGTTTGGGAAAATACTCCCTTTGGTTCCTGGATTCATCAAAGCTAGTTTTGCATCATATTGGTTTTGGTAGCTAATTTGGTTTTGCCTGCCAATGGAGAGGTCATCTGTGTATTCTCTCTGGTGTACAGAGGCATTCTAGAGAAAACAGGGAGTATAGTGATGAACAGCAACAAGGAAATCCAACACTGCACTACAGTTTAAGTTTCCCTAGTTTTAGCTATGTATTTATTTATATTCATATCAATCAGTCTTGTTCTTCTGCTAGATTTCCCTTTAGTGACAAATGAAGAGATCTCTGCACTCCCTACTGTGAATGTGCTCCCTGGAGGCAAGTACTCGGGAGCCAAATTGAAGTCAGTGATCAGGATGTTGCGTGGATTGCTGGAACAGGGAGTCCCTTCTAAAGAGATTGAAGTGAGTAACTATTTGTCCTTTAAAGTCCTTTTTTTTCTGAGTTAGAAATAGAATGGCTGGTTCGTCACTGCATTAAATACCACAGCTCTTTAATTTGCAGCTCTAAAGGGATGAAAAGACTTCTTTTACCAAAGACTTCTCTCCCTTCCCCCCACTAGCTGCTGAGAGAGAAGATTAGTTTGAACCGTGAATTAAATTCAAAAGTGTATTTACATCATTCTTACTTCTGGTAACTTGCCAAGTGAATATGACGTTAACAGGCATAGAGAAGGTAAATAAAGGCTGGGAAATCTAGCTGCAGAATGTGAAAACAGCCTTTCCAAAGTCTTAAGTCAACCATGTTACGTGATCTCTTTTTTTGGGAGAATGAGATAAAATATTTTCTGGATAATAATTGGGGGGGTTTGTTTTATTTTTTTGGTTGGTTGGTTTCATTTAATCTTTTTAGCTATGTGAAATTAGATTCCTTCCCGTGACTGAATTCTTTTGCATATCCACATTAGGATTTTTTTGGTAATGATTCTGCCTGCTAAAGACTTGGTTACCTAACTGCTCTTAACACTTGTTACCATTTGGCACTTTCTAATACACATGTAATTGCTTCCTTACAGAACCTTCAGGAGTTAAAACCTTTGGATCAGTGTCTGATTGGTCAAGCAAAGGAGAACAGAAGAAAGAACAGATATAAAAACATACTTCCTTGTAAGTCCTAACTAATCTGAAGTTCACTGTTGATACTTTGTCACCACCTGCATGTTTAGATGAATTGGATCAGAAGTGGGATGGTTTGATTCCCAATCCTAGTTCTGCTACTGAGTAGGGGAAAAAAAAAAATCTGCCACTCATTTTCTGCACATTTAAAGCAAGAATTTATAAAGCAGTTTAAGATCGGTGAACAATGGACTTCTGTAGTAGGTAGGGATGGATGTTCACAGATTCTTCAGTTGTTTCAGCAGATCTTGTCCCTTAAACGAGATATACATATGGAGCCAGACAAGATTTTTATCATTTTACCCCTGTAAAATCAGAAAAACAGAAATGTATACTATTGTCAGTAAATTTCCTGCAGCAAAATTCTGTTTGTTAGGTGGGAGATGTGTGGAGGAGAAGTGAGAACTGACAAAGGCTAGTTCTGAGTGAGAAATATTCAGGTTCAGTTTCAGAGTTGCTGCAGTTCAAATTAAGTATCCTGCCTGTCTGCTGATTTAGATTTCTCCCCTAGCCATCTTTTTCTTTATTCAGAGACATACTGATTAGTATCCTAAAGCAAGTATTGTAGTGATTTTTTTATTTTTGTGTTTTTTAAATAAGATCTGGAAGCATCTGTGGAGATAGTACTATGTGAGTGTGTAAGGCTCAGCATCTCTATCGTGTGAAGGTCTTAATTATGTGCAAGCGTAACATTGAGGTATTTTTGTTGTGTGGGTCTTGCAGATGATACCACTAGAGTACCTCTTGGGATGGAAGGCGGGTACATCAATGCCAGCTTCATTCGCATGCCGGTGGGGAATGAAGAGTTCATTTACATTGCATGTCAAGGACCTCTCCCTACTACTGTAGCAGATTTCTGGCAAATGGTTTGGGAGCAAAACTGTACTGTGATTGCCATGATGACTCAGGAGGTTGAAGGAGAAAAGATAAAATGCCAGCGTTACTGGCCAGATGTACTCAATAAAACCACCATGATAAATGATAGACTCCGGCTTGCTCTCGTAAGACTCCAACAGCTGAAGGGCTTTATCATTAGAGTGCTGGAGCTAGAAGAGATTCAGGTAAGTGAATCTAACTCTGCATGCTGAGAATTTTTTTCTGAGTGATGATATTTTTATCCTCATACTTCTGGCTTGCCTGCTTTCAATTGCAATGTCTACATCTAGAGGTAACCTAGGGCTTCTCCTCTTTGCCCAGTGATCATTACTGGGCAACTCTTCCTTGTTACAGCTTGTGCTGCTCTGTGACCTTTATAGGAGAAGGCAGTTGGGCAGGAGATGATTTCATTATGCTAATGAGACTCTAAATTTTGGCTCCCTACATGCCTTTGGCCACAGAAACATATATAGGGATATGAAATTCACTAATAGTTCAGTCTGGCTGACTCAGTCCTCTGTGTGATCAGCTCAGTCTGCACAGTGAACCTTATACTATTCAATTACTTGCTAGTGATTTTAAGTTTAGCTCATTGTTTCTCTTGTTTTCTTGAATTACAGAACACCTTCATTGGGCAAAGCCCTCTCTTCTGAGACTCTTTCCTTTGGGAATTTACCTTTTGTCGTCTTATTCTTCCCATGAGTTACATTTTGTTGTTATTGTTGGTTTTAAACCTCAGACAGGTGAAGTACGGCACATTTCTCATCTGAACTTCATCGCCTGGCCTGACCATGACACCCCTTCTCAACCAGACGACCTGCTTACTTTTATCTCCTACATGCGGCATGTCCACAAATCGGGACCTATCGTAACCCACTGCAGTGCAGGAATTGGACGATCGGGGACCCTTATTTGTATAGATGTTGTTCTAGGGTTAATCAGCAGAGACCTCGATGTGAGTACCCAAGAGGATGGGCTAAGCTGTACTTTTGGCTTTCAGGAAATGTGTTCCATTGGATCTGTTCAATTGTTTAAAGAATGTGCCATGCTTTTGAGAGCAGCATGCTGGCCATGTCTTCGTGTAACATAAATCAGGGTGTAAAACAGCAGTACCTGTGAAATTTTTCTTTGTTGTTGATCCTGGGGTCGGGGAGAGCTCTAACATCTGCTGGTTCTTGGGTTAGCTCAGGGAATCTTAAGTGTCCTGTTTGTTGACACCTCAGCAATCCAACATTGTTAGGTGCCCCTTGAGACATTCTAGGGTATGTTGCAAGGACATCTCCTACTGTAGCAGACTTCTGGTGTGTGGCTTGGGAACAACAGCGTGTGGTCATGATGACTAGGCTAATTGAAGGACAAGTTAAAATGCCTGCCTTACCTGGCTGTGTGTCCTCAGTGGAACTATTGTGTTAAATGGCATTAGGGCTGAGAGTTGTGGCACTCAGAGATCCGTGAACTGTTGGAGGGCAGGTAGAAGCCGACTAGAGTGTCTGTTTAGGGAACTGAATCAAAAACTCAGTGTATAAACATCTCGGCTGGAGATGAGGATGTATGAATTAACTTTTGCCGCACAACCAGGGATTTGCTTTGTTAGGGTGATCCACAGGAGGGTGCTAGCTTCCTTATGTTCACGTCCTTCAGTGGCCTGCTGTAGCAGATCTTCTTGTGAAGTGGTAGAAAAGATGAGCTATGTCATGCTTAGCTCAGCGGGGTTTGTAAGCACCCACTAAATATCTAGAACTTTATAGACCTGGGGAAATAAAAAGTGTTTTGTTAGGTTGGACCAAGGGCTCTATTCTCCACACACTCAGCTCCCAGTAAAAGTAAGCAAGAGAGTCTCTGCACAGAGAAAGAAATCAAGAGAAGGAGGGTGTATGGTGTTGGAGAGCCACATCCCTATTGCCCAGAGACAACAATGTCTGGGGGAGTTATCTACCAGACATGCATAGGCTGTAGTGAATTGTTATTTCTTTCACTACTAAATGTTTAACCTACCTAGTTGGATTCCTTGGTTTGATGCTGGGGATGTTTCCTTTATATGCATGTATGTCTTTTTCTTGAATGTTTAACTTGCTGTTTGTTTTGGTAGTTCGACATCTCAGACCTGGTACGCACGATGCGTCTGCAGAGACATGGGATGGTTCAGACAGAGGTGAGTCTGGCTTCCCCAGGTATATGCTCAAGGAAAGACACTGGAACTCCAATTCTGATGTGCCAGGAAACTTTCTGTGATGCGCACAATGATTGTCTTTGTGCCCTCTAATGCTGCAACATTTGTGTCTTGAGAATTAAATCAGGCGCGTACCAGTGAGTAGTAGTGTGTATTTAACAGTTACAAATGTGTGCAATTTTTAACATGCTGTGCTGTTTTGACCTGTGTTTTAAAAAAAAAAAAAAAAAAGTTGGGACTTTTCATCTTCAAAAGCATGTGTTACAGAGGAAATCAGGTGAGATTTTTGGTTAAAAATTGCATTATAAACTGAAGAGAAGACCTAACTGTAGCTGCTATGAATCACTGATAACTCCCAGAGATGGCTTGAAATCTCCTTTGGGGAGATATTCAACCAGAAGTTAAATGAATGGTTTAGGAATAACCTAGATCTAGAGCTAGTTTTCTTTACCTTAGAGATGGTTGTCACAAGGTCTTGTTAAAATCTACACTTTTTCTTTGAATGTCAAGGAATTGTTAAATCATAGTTTAAAAAACAAGACCAAAAAAACCCGCAAAAAACTCCCACCAAAAAACCTAAAACCAAATGACAAAACTATCAGCCCCACCTCACACTCCAAAACGTGTATTAGCCCCCACACCTGTATCACTGAGATAAAGATAAGAAGTTGCACTGTCATCTGAGTTCTTTATTAGTTAACATTGATACAAGACCTTGAAATTCACTCGCTGTCTTCATTTCTACTTGAGTACCTACTCTGCTTGAGGTGGTTTTGGTGTGAAAGGAGGATAAATGTCCCATATAAAAATATATCTTTAGTGGCAGAGGAGTGCCTGTATTTAAGTTGAGGTTGCATATTTCTCCGCTGTGGGTTTTTTGGTTTGTGTTTTGTTTTTTTTTATTTAACTGTAGAAATAGTATTGAAATCAAGTGCTGTGCACCTGTGAAGTGCAGGTGAGAGTGAATTGCTTAGGTGGTGCAAGCATTTTTCACATGTTCTGTGATTTCCTTTCCATTGCAGGATCAGTACATTTTCTGCTATCAAGTTGTCCTTTATGTCCTGAATCATCTCCAACATGAAGAACAACAGAGAAGCAAATAAAATACTGAAGCTGAAGTGCTTTTAAAATAAGGAAGCAAGGAGATCTGGAGGTTCTCACATGTTTTCTTTGTTCTGCCAATACTTTTCCTGTCCTTCAGTTGCTGTCAAATGTGTTTTCTATAAAGTCTCTCCATCATTCCAAATAAGGTATATAGTTATAAGGAAAAGGGATAGCTCATACACTACCATTATAATGTTTTCAGCCCTGTGGACACATATGTGAGATTTTTGTATAACAGTAAATAATATTTAATAAAGCTGCATTTTTTTGCGGCTTCCTTAATATGTGATAAAATACTGACATAAAAATACTTTCATTTAAAAAAAAAGAGTAAAGAAGAAGAAAAAAGAGAAAAAAGTAATCTTATAATACTTCCTGCAGTTCTGAAACTGTTTTGGGGTATTTGTTTCTTATGGGATGGGGGAGTGGGAGGGATGAAGCAGTATTTTTATCCTGGCAAACTTTATTACAAAAATATTTTACTAGTCTCTTTTAAAAGCTTGTTTATGGCACAGAATTTTTGCCCTTTTAGTACAATTACAACTATTTTATAGAGGGTATCTCAAAATCTGCTTTTAAGCTTTAAGAGATGACTGTTAGCGTAAGGATAGTAGTGAATGTTTACTGTAAGTATCACAGTTAATAATGTTTACGTCATGGAGTTTCATGTATATATTTATATACTTTTACAAAAAAAAGCTGAATTATCAGATGTCTAACCTTATAACTGATTAGACATCTCCACTCTGTAAATAAATACATCTAAAGTACACTGCTCAGTGGGTCTGGGTATTTTTGTGTCCTTGTGACTGATTTTTTTCTTGGCCTTACATGGCATCCTTCATTGTGTTGCTGCACTTCTTAAGAAATTTGCAACAAAAGGGCTGTGAACGTTTTAAATTTTCAGTGTCCTTCTGTTCTTCAGCATCCATTTGAAAAAACCTGCAGAACTGTGGGTTCCTTTTTGGAGAGTTTCCACACTATGGTGAAAGGAAGAGGATATTTTCCTTCTGTCCTTGTTTTTCAGCATACATGGGCATTGAGACCCATATCACATTTTTTTGAGTGTGTTTGCACTTGGATGCCATGGCAGCGATCTGACAACAATGTAGTCTACTCTGCTTAAAGCAACCAAGTTTGAGGTGGGATATCAGGTTCTAAGTAACTCAGTGTTCTAATGATACTGTAAACAGTTAAAACTGTTCTGAAAGGAAATGTTAGTTTTATGCTGTATGGGAACCTTGGATGATGAAAACTGCCATCAGCCAGCACAGGGGACCATCTGAGGGTTTCAGCAGTATTCCTGTCCTGACCAGAACTGAAGCTTGTGACTTGTGCTCTCAGGAAGGGTGTAAGAGTACTAATTTGACGGCATTCCACATTGGCAGTGGTGGAAATAAGTTCAAAGGCCTGTGATTATCCAAGGTTTTCACTCTTCAAAATAGCAGGCCACCGTGTTCTGGTGTCCCAAAACTAAACAGTCACTGTCTTGCTTGTTTAATGGTATTCTAGCTAGCAATAGCATGACTTCAAAAAGGAAAAGAGCCTTTTTCACTTGTCACAGTAATACTATGATTTTTATTCCCTGCAGCATATGGACACAGTTGAAAAATTGAGCCTTTTTGAGAGCAGTGTAGTTTGAGGAAGGAAAGTTTAATTCTGTGTAGATAGAAGCAGAGGCAAATTGAACACCTACGTTGACAGTGCACCTACATGAAGGAGCTTTAAAGTGAAGGCAGAAGATTTTCAGGATGACAGTTGTCAACAGGCAAAGTAAGTAAACGCAGCTAGTTAATGCACTGCTGCTACTGTTTTATCATAAATAGCGAGTTCAGAGGATTTAGGTATGTCTGGTTTTTAGAAACAAAAAAATTATTATTATAGACAGTATGATTAAGGCAGTTGAATTCTTCCTTTAAATGTCTTCAGGTACATACCAAACAATGTAGAAACAGGAACTGATTTTTGTATAGTATGCTACATGAAGCCCACTTCAATATGGCGCAAAAAATTTGCGATCAGATTACAGCTTACGGGAAACACAAATCAGTACAAGATTCCAGGATTTGCTGCTTGTCCTCACAAATATGAAGACCTATGGCATGTTATACCCAATTTCCTTTTAACGATGAGCGCATAGAAAAGCAGAGGCTAATTAGCTTGGCCTAACCTCCCCATTCTCAGAAAGAGGATACACCCCCTCCCAGACAGTCTTTTCAGTTTCTCAGATGGTTACCCTTGGAAGGTGGGTACATGATTAGTGAATAAACAGACCTGTCTATTCACCCTGCTAATGTGGTATTGGACCCCAACCCCAGAAGTCCAGCTGGGAAACCCAGCTATCCTTACTCACTTTTTAACTATTTTAACTCTTTTTAAGAAACTTAGAATCTTGTGGAGCAAAGCATCCTCCTCTGAACAAAAAAGGATAAATGTAGCCCTTCTACACCTGCCTTCAATCTTCTTGATCCAGCTCTTCCCATCTGAAATCATCCTTCCAGTACCATCAGTATGTAGCTGTAAACATGATCATGCAGGAGTAATAGGGAGTTCCTACACTGAAGATTTCCTGGCCAAATTCCTGGTTACCCTAACTTGATGATAAAGCACGTGGGGTCCAATGGGAGGCATTTAGGTGTTCCCAAGGAGTCATGCACATATAGTGAAAGGTGGCATCAGCCTCTTTTGAGATGTCTGAATTTGGGTTTTTGTCTCAACATTGAGGAACTGGATATCTAATAAAGGTGGAGTTCTCCCTAGTCTAATACTTGTTGAGGACACTGTGTCTGTTTTCTGCTAAGCAGGTAGAACTTGCCTTCTGTGGCACTTGACGTGGTCAGTTTGGTTAAAAGAGACGCCACAGCTCAAAACTTATTACAAGAAAATGGACATGCTTACACAGTGTGGTTGTTTGTTTGGTTTCTGTGGGGAACCTGGTTGGAAATATGCACCAATATTATCTTTTTCTCCACAGGATTAGGCTACCTAAAATCTTTATGTCCCCTTTGAAGAAATGCGAAGAAACAGGACTGAAAAGCTAGTTCCTTGGATGGAAAAAATGCTGTGTGCTTTTAGTATGCTGACTATATAATTCTCAGGGAGAAAAAATCTTGAGTGGTGGCGCTTTTTTCTTTTTTTTCTTTTTTGAACTGTGGTGTCTTGCTGAGTAAGCAAGCAGGACATGCTCCAGCTGAAAGGGATTTTCCTTTATATAGGTATCTGATTTTCAG